GCACGGTCTCCAGGAGAGCGCGCGAGCGCTGAATGGTTTAAACACTGTCAAGAATTAAAAAGTAATGCAATTTATAAACTTTAGTGACGATGTGAAACTGCCTTGATTGTGCAAGTGACAATTCCTGTTTCAATTGTGCAGCGTGCAGCTCGCTTATAGACAGACGCGATGTGTGGTGATTTGAAGCCATTTGCGTATTTTGAGAGGGAGAGCACGCGAGCGGTGATTCACTCACGCTGTTTGTGAAATTTCGTCTCACACAAGGTTTTCAAATTACTTTATAAGTTATTTCATGAAGAAATATGCCTTATAATGATTTCACCCGCGCCGGACAGAGACTGAGACGATGCAGCTGCATGTCGTGCCAAACCTCTCACGGCAGTGTCATCAGCTTGAGATCGGTTTTTTTAGAGACCGCCGATCAATCATCCCAACGTGATTATCGGCCGATAGTGACCGGTAGCCGATCAATCATCCCAACGTGATTATCGGCCGATAGTGACCGGTAGCCGATCAATCGAAGCACCCCTATTTAAAATGTTGACTAATCAGACATCACCTAGTTTCTTAGGTTACTGATACAACAAGAATATTAATATATGCATGGCTATGCAAGATTTTGCATCAAACCAAAATAACAAGGCAGAGTGGGTAAAACCAATGAGAGAACCAATGAGAGAAGCTGAAATAAGACTGTGTCAACGCAAATCCACTACCTTCAATGAGTCCGAGGCTTTTCGGAGCTCTTTGATAACTGATGACAGGGCTTCGGGATTGATCCCCTGCTCACAGAGACGGACACATATCGACAGAGACTCCATGTCCAATCCTGTATTCAACAGCCTGGATATCTCCAGGAGAACTGGAAATGTAAGAACAAAACACAACGATACATGTGTCACATAACTGCTCCATTGAATTAACAGTGCGATTTATGAGAATGAATCATGCAGTGTGCGTGCCAACAACCAGTACCAGTAACAATACCGTATTCAGTATGCTTTCAAATAGGTTTCGAAACAACAACATTTTAAAAAGAGTATTTCTTTGTTGTAAACATTTTAATCTTACCATCCATAGTCTCCCGGACCGCGTTCATGTTTGCGCTCGCGGGACTGGCCATGATGCTACGTGCTAAAGCTATTTAATTACTTAACGACAATAACAAAGCACTAGCATTCATTCAGAAGACCTAACACGTCTATTCCTGTTAATCCCTGATGTCTTCCAACAATTTGCGATTTAAAAACCGGGCAGCGTCACAAATCTCGCATTACACAGTATCCATAAACTAACTGACGACAGCAGTTTTGTTCACACCTCGCGATTTTGTTGTGGTGGCAATCCTGACAATAAAGTTTTAGATGTTCGAAAGGAAGTTACGTCCAGACTGCAGGTCGGTCGTTCTCGTCAGCTGATTGGTTGTTTCGCATATTCTGCTGAATTGTGATTGGCTAGCACCTCTTGAGCGAAAATTAAACCAGACGTTAGAGCTATTCAGCGATCACTGTCTGGCTTGTTTGAGTTTCGTTACGTTACGTTGTGAGTATTAATTAATAACATTTATTACCCGTTTTTGTCTATTTAAACACATGTAAAGACTGCAAACTAACAAAGGTAGAAAATCCGAGCAATAATCGTTTGATCATCACAAACGAGATGCAATGATATAGTTAATCAAACAGGATATTTACCGCTCTGATTTGTTGATAATCTCAAGGACCTCCAAGTCTTTCACTCATTTCTTTCTTGTTAAAGTGTAGCCTGGTTGGCCGGACGCCGTTTATAAGATGGGAGATATAGCAGAGATTCATATAACACCCGAGACTCCTGGAAGACCCGCTATCCTGAACCCGTTTGAGAGCCCAAACGACTATCATCGTCTGCATGAGCCCCTGGTGCCCAGCCCGTCGGTGTTCAAGAGCTCCAAGAGCTCCTCAGCGGTTAGTTTCTGACTCTGCATATGAGGGAAAATCATGAAAAAGGATAGAAATGTAATTTCTGTTTGTGTTGTTTGTTGTAGACACCAGCCAAGTTCAAATGGTCCATCGATGAAATGGCAAATTTACTTCCTGTGGAAATAGACTCAGAGGACATTCACCGCCAGGCTATGTTTCTGAGCCAAACCAGGTATGTATTGCTGTTAGTACGTTTATTTGAAGTGTATTACAATAATGACGTTCTTTTTTGTAAATATATTCTCATGATATTAACTCAGTTGTGTTTTAACACATCAAGGGCAGATGCTGAGATTGAGGAAAAACGGCAACATGCTATTGAACAGGTAAAACTGCTTTACTTCTTATAACACAATCCCTGTTCATGAAAATGTTTTATTTTAACTAAAGAGAAAGATGTGTCATTATTTTTGTTTGTTCAGTTTTTCACTAAAGGTGCAATTGTTCCCTCTCCATGGGGACCACCAGCAGCTAAACCATCAGTAAAAATGCCACATCAGAAAAGTAAGTCATGGAACATAAAAGAGAGAGATATTTTCATGCTACTTTATTACAACCAATGTAGTTTTTAGATATTAACTTAAACTATCTCATTTTAGGTTCTTTGTCCCCACTGGTAACAGATGACATTCAGTCATCAAAGAAAATAAATGGTTTGTTCAGCAGCTCTAAGACAATTCATAAATGATCACCACCGTAAATTTAGAAATGTATCTATGTGGATTTAGAGTAATTGGTCTTTGCTTGTTTGTGTTTTAGCCATCTGTCAGACGGTCTTGTCTCTACCTGTGGACTTCAATCTCGAAAAAGTTCTGGGTAACCTTTTTTTAAATTATTACTATATTTTAAAATGAAGGCAAACATGTAATTTATAATACAGTGCTGTTCAAAAGTATGGGATCAGTACGTTTTGACCATTTTAATAATCCAAAACATGTACAAAAGTTTTAACAAAAATATTAAGAAGCACAACTGTTTTAAACATTGATAATAAGAAATATATACTGAACAGCAAATCAGCATATTAGAATGTTTTCTGAATGATCACGACACTGAAGACTGGAGTAATGATGGTGAAAATTCAGCTTTGTATGAGAGGAATAAATGACATTTTCAAATATATTCACATAGAAATGTTTTTTTTATTGTAATAATATTTGTAGTTACTGTTTTTTTATAAATATAATAAAAATAAATGCAGCCTTTGTGATCAGAAAATACATTAACTTTAAAGCTGTTCCATAGTGTGACTTTATGTATTTCTTCTAAAATTATTTGAATCACCATTTTGCTTTTTTTTTCTTATTAATACTTTTCATGCATAGTTATATGACCTCATTAACTGAGAAATAAGATTAAACATTTGTCCTTTTAAAAACTCATAAGAGTGGAATTTGTAATGGGGAAAAAAATCTAAATGGTGAAAATCTTACATGGTTGCCCTTTTATTCATATTAAAACACGTCTACAAGCTTTTTATGCAATGACTACTTATATCCCTAACCAGACACCCTCCACAAAATCCTGAAAGTGCATTTGACTGAGTACAATGTTAGGTCAAGTACAAAAAGGTTGTTAACAGTCTGACCTCATTGCACTTCTTGAATTTTGGGGTGTCAGGTCTTGTCTATTGATTATTTAAATTTGGCAAATATTTGCATGCTTTTCTTTGCTTGGGTACATATTGATATTAACTTGAGAATTTCCTTTCTGTTGCACCAGGTGATTACTACAAGACAGAAGAGCTAACCGAACAGGTGCAGGAGAGCCTTAGCTCCTCTTCTTTGCGGCGGAAGCTGTTTCTTGATGGCCATGACAGTGGCTCTGAGTCCTCTACCCCTTCCAGCCCAGACAGATATTCCCATAATGTTCCTCCCAGCAGTCGAGAGATGGTGTCTTCTGTTATTGTCTCTCCACTTCAGTGTGGCATTCCAACTGGGACACCCTTGTCTGTATGTACCAGATCATAGATGATGACACTACAAGGGTGAAACTACACCCTTGTAGACCAATAAAATGTGGTTCAAGGGTACTTGATGTCTGAGATCTTTAAAAATTTAATATTGAATTTTATCCATAATCCTCAGGGCCAGTTTTCATCCAGTCCCATCCAAGGCCAGGGTCGAGCATACAGTCTGGGCAGTGTCGCAAGTCCCATGTTTTCAGAGAAATCGTCACCTGCTTTCACGTCTCCTATTCTGTCGCCCATCAGACTTCAACATTCTGTGACGCCTGTATCAGGTGAGAATTCTAAGATGGTGCCAGTTTTTTTTTTTTTTATGTTGTATGCATAACTATATATGTAGTGCAGGGGTTACTTTAACCTTTTTTTGTCAGCTGAACCCCTTAGACATGACATTTTGCTTGAAGTAGCCCCTGAGAAGGTATCATTAATACAGAGGTTAATATTTCAATCATTTAAAGTGATAGTTCACCCAAAAATTAAAATTCTGTCATTAATTACTCACCCTCATGTCGTTCAAAACCCGTAAGACCTTTGTTCATCTTCAGAACACAAGATATTTTTGATGAACTCTGAGAGCTCTCTGACCTTCCATAAGGCTCTTTCGCACCAGAGGAACCATTCCATAATTCCTTGAAGTTCCCGCTTTTTGGCGTGTTCGCACTGCAGGAACTAGGAACATATTTAGTTCTAGGAACTCCATTTGAGGGAGCTAATTTATCTCCTACTTTAGAGCAGGGTCTAAAACTGTTCTATAGGAACTACCAGTGATGTAGGGTACACTGGCCAAATGCATACAAAACATTGGCTACGCGACATTTTTAAAAAGCTATGTAAAATTATTTACTCCACGAACGTGGAAAACTGATAACGGCATGTCTGCAGCATTGTGTTATTTTCTCAGCCTCGATGATATGCAACGCTGCAAGTTGTCATAGGAGATTTAGTCAGATTTTCATGCTCTTTCAATTGCGTAAGCTGTGCATTTACATAACATCTTGGTTAATGCAAAACCCACGACACACAACAAAAACAGCTCTGAACACGTCGTTCTCCATTCACCGGTTGTTGATGTTTGTAAATGCCGCGAATAAAGACGTTGCTGTCGGCCGCTTCAGAATTCCTGCTGCTGGTGCGAATGCAACCAGGAAAACGGCCGAAGGGAGAAATTGGTTCTCTAGGAACTAACCTGTTGGCTAATTCCTTGAACTAATTTCCTAGAACTATGCGGTGCGAAAACGCCTATAGACAGCATCGGAACTGACACGTTCAAGGCCCAGAAAGGTAGTAAGGACATCGTTAAAATAGTCCATGTGACATCAGTGGTTCAACTGTGATACTATGAAGCTACGAGAATACTTTTTGTGTGCAAAGAAAAAAAACTACTTTATTTGACAGTTTCTTCCCTTCGTGTCAGTCTTTGCCATGCGTTCTCGAGAGTACCACGACACATGCATGTGATGCTGCTGACACGGGAGTAACGTAGAACCCAGATGCGCTGGGGCTTGTTTACAAGCAGAAGACGCACACTGTACATAAAACAGTCTTCCTAAAAACGTTGAATACTGACACAGAAGAGAAGAAATTGTTGAATTTAAACCTTATTTTAGTTTTCTTTGGGCACAAAAAGTAACATTACGGTTGACCCACTGATGTCACATGGACTATTTAAACGATGTCCTTACTACCTTTCTGGGCCTTGAACGTGTCAGTTGTGTTGCTGTCTATGCAGGGTCAGAAAGCTCTCGGATTTCATCAAATATCTTAATTTGTTTTCTGAAGATGAACGAAGGTATTACGGGGAAGGAATGACACGAGGGTGAGTAATTATTGAACTACCCCTTTAACAACACATTTGCATGTTCATGGTTCTCTGATGTCGGGTAATGGTCACATGACATGCAAGTAAATGGCTAAAATATTTAATCATTTTTGTAATTAATTATTTGCAATATAATTTATTATTATCTCTTCACCAACTCTTTGGATAAGTGTATGTGAAGTCGGAACTGACACGTTCAAGGCCCAGAAAGGTAGTAAGGACATCGTTAAAATAGTCCATGTGACATCAGTGGTTCAACTGTGATACTATGAAGCTACGAGAATACTTTTTGTGTGCAAAGAAAAAAAACTACTTTATTTGACAGTTTCTTCCCTTCGTGTCAGTCTTTGCCATGCGTTCTCGAGAGTACCACGACACATGCATGTGATGCTGCTGACACGGGAGTAACGTAGAACCCAGATGCGCTGGGGCTTGTTTACAAGCAGAAGACGCACACTGTACATAAAACAGTCTTCCTAAAAACGTTGAATACTGACACAGAAGAGAAGAAATTGTTGAATTTAAACCTTATTTTTGTTTTCTTTGGGCACAAAAAGTAACATTACGGTTGACCCACTGATGTCACATGGACTATTTAAACGATGTCCTTACTACCTTTCTGGGCCTTAAAATATAAAAAGCTAATTCAAAATATGAATAAAAATTGTAGTATATAAAGAATGTTTTTAATTTTTTAATTATTATTATTATATATATTTTTATTATTAATATATATTATAAAAATGTGCACTTTTTTTCTAAAGCACAACCTTTAAGAATATCTCTCTATATAATTATCATTATCTTTATTTAAATGTTAATATTATTATTTGATATTTAATAAATTATTATAGAAAATGCTTGCTTATTTCTAAAGGACAAACTTAAAACGTGTTTAAAGTTTGCTGTAGATAAAGCATACATTTTCAACATTTTTAAAAATTATGCATAAACTTTTTTCTTTTTTTTATTATTGTAGCACTATTTAATGAGACTAAAATGTAGTAATCATTATTGTTACTATGACTAAGTTTATGCTTTATAAATTACTTTTGCAAGCTTTTATGATGGACTTGTGAACTACGGTCTTCAGCTAATTGTTAGGCTTAATCTGTCCCTCGTGTTCTCTGCAGGTGGATAGCGGTTATAACACTCACTCAGTGTGCACTACCAGCTTAATGGACACCCTCAGTTCAGACAGCCAGAGTAAGGACATGCTGGACACACACACTGCTGAAGAGGGTGTACCTTTCACTAGACACACTAAACCAAAGGTAAAGTCTCTCACACACTCTACAACAGGAAAAAAAAAATCATTCACTCTGCAATGCATCACATTTTAATACTTAATTCAGCTTTGTAGCTTTAGTTTTGTACACTCAAAATACACTGTATTCACTTTATTATAGTTTATACTTGATGATAGAAAGCACTGTGCATAACCACACTAAGAAATGTTTTGTTCTGCAGTTGTTCACCCTGCCACACTGAGCATGAGGGACAGAACAGGCACTTTACACACTCTTACCCCAAAGCTGTGGAGGATACGCGCGACACATTAAGCTGTATGGTGCTCATGTCATCTCATATGAATGCTGAATACTGTGGTTGGTTTTACTGTCTGAGCCTTGTGAAAGTTTTTGTACGGACTAATCTACAGTATTTATTCTTGCTCCAAAAACTTGAATTAGATTGAAGATTATGTATGGGTTTTATTGATTGTGAAATGTAGCTTTCAATTACTTGTGATTTTTTTAAAAGAGGGTGGTAGATATGTAACCATTTCCTCTAGCTGTTTTTATAGGGCCTTTTTTTTACAGTCTTAAAATTATTTATGAATTAATCAATCACTAACAAACATATGGAGATACTACATGGTATACATATTATGGTGACATGTATCTGAATTGTAATAAAATGTCTAGATAAAAATGGTGATGGTGTCCTTTATCTGCTTGTAATTTCTTCTTACGGACGATGACATCAGACTTCATCTTTGTTGTCATCTAAGTTGGTTTTACTGTCTGAGCCTTGTGAAAGTTTTTGTACGGACTAATCTACAGTATTTATTCTTGCTCCAAAAACTTGAATTAGATTGAAGATTATGTATGGGTTTTATTGATTGTGAAATGTAGCTTTCAATTACTTGTGATTTTTTTAAAAGAGGGTGGTAGATATGTAACCATTTCCTCTAGCTGTTTTTATAGGGCCTTTTTTTTACAGTCTTAAAATTATTTATGAATTAATCAATCACTAACAAACATATGGAGATACTACATGGTATACATATTATGGTGACATGTATCTGAATTGTAATAAAATGTCTAGATAAAAATGGTGATGGTGTCCTTTATCTGCTTGTAATTTCTTCTTACAGACGATGACATCAGACTTCATCTTTGTTGTCTTCATCTAATATATTAACAAAAAAAAGGCATCACAGTAGAATGTACCATTGTTTTTGTACACGGCTGATCTAAATTAGTCCAATCCATTGTACTGACAGCTGTGTGCTTTGCCGTTCTTAAAGGGCGCAAATATAGCGCACATATAACTATAGCACAGGTTTTTCTTTTTTGAATGCTACACAACACAATATTTAGGGTTCCTTTGTCGTGTAAAAGCAAATAATTAAAAATTATGATTTCCAGGCTTGAAGAAGTTATGAAAATCAATATAATTTTCAGTTATGGAAAAATCATGAATTATTTTTTTTATTACTCTGCTTTATCATAAAATAAAATTTTCAGGCTAATCATGTGTTTATGTAATATACAGTGCATCCGGAAAGTATTCACAGCGATTCACTTTTTTCACATTTTGTTGTTACAGCCTTATTCCAAAATGGATTTAATTCATTATTTTCCTCCAGATTCTACAAACAATACCCCATAATAACAACATGAAAGAAGTTTGTTTGAAATCTTTGCAAATTTATAAAAAAAATTTAAAATCGCCTGTACATAAGTATTCACAGCCTTTGCCATGACACTCAAAATTGAGCTCAGGTGCATCCTGTTTCCACTGATCATCCTTGAGATGTTTCTACAACAAGTGTCCTGTGGTAAATTCAGTTGATTGGACATGATTTGGAAAGGCACACACCTGTCTCTATAAGGTCCCACTGTTAACAGTGCAGGTCAGAGCACAAACCAAGCTAAGAAATCCAAGGAATTGTCTGTAGACCGAGACAGGATTGTATCGAGGCACCGGGAAGGATACAGTAACATTTCTGCAGCATTGAAGGTGCCAATGAGCACAATGGCCTTCATCTGTAAATGGAAGAAGTTTGGAACCACCAGGACTCTTCCTAGAGCTGGCATCCTGGCCAAACTGAGCAATTGATGGAGAAGGGCCTTGTCTAGACTGGTGACCAAGAAGCTGATGGTCACTCTAGTTGAGCTCCATGATCATATATGCAGATGGGAGAAACCTAAACAAGCACAAACATCACTGCAACACTTCCAAATCTGGGCTTTATGTCGGTGTGGCCAGACTCAATCTTCTCCTCAGTGAAAACGCACGAAAACCAACTTGGAATTTGCAAAAAAAGCACCTAAAGGACCCTTAGACGCTGAGAAACAAGATTCTCTGGCGTGATGAACCTCAATTCTAAGCATCATGTTTGAAGGAAACCAGCTCTGCTCATCACCTGCAGAGTACCATCCCGAAAGTAAAGCGTGCTGGTAGCAGCCTCATGCTGAGGGGCTGTTTTTCAGCGCCAGGGAGGGACTCATCAGAATAGAAGAAACGCTCAATGCACCAAAATATTGAGAGCCTTAATGAAAACCCAGTCCAGAGCGTTCTCCTTCCAACAGGACAATGAACCTAAACACAGCAAGAGTGGCTTATAGACAACTGTGTAAATGTCCTTGAGTGGGCCAGCCAGAGCCTGAGCTTGAACCCAATCAAATATTTCTGGAAAAACCTGACAATGTGTGTCTGCCCCCATCCAACCTGACAGAGCTTGAGAGGTGAAGAGAAGAGGAGAAGGATGGCAGATAATTGCCAAATGATGACGAGCAAAGCTTGTAGCATCATACTCAAAGACTTGAGGCTTTAATTGGTGCCAAAGGTGCTTTAACAAAGTATTGAGTAAAGGCTGTGAATACTTATGTACATGTGATTTAAAAAAAAAAAAAAAAAATTTTTCTCCGTGCTTTTATTTTTAATAAATTTGCAAAGATTTCAAACAAACTTCTTTAATGTTGTCATTATGGGGTACTCTTTGTAGAATTGAGTAAAGTAATGAATTTTAATCCATTTTGAAATAAGGATGTAACATAAAATGTGGAAAAAGTGAAGTGCTGTGCATTCTTTCCGGATGCACTGTAAGTACTTAGCTGTATCAAGTATTTCTATACTATCAAATCCGGTTATGCACACATTGCCAGTAGCTCTGATCTCTTAAAAGGTTGTGATAATCCCTTGAATTCCACAATGTGCTCATGTGGATTGTATTAAAAATAGTTTTTAGCCAAATGTTTTTTGAACATTTGTTCTTATCAATGAAGTTAAAATTACACTAGTGTCAACTTCAAAATTAAATGTTGGGGTTTGGCATTTTGGTTTAAAGTCATGGAAATTAATTGATCAGAAAGAGTGGCAACCCTGAATATAACAGAATATAATCTCTGTG